GTGGCGGCGGGGCGGGCTGGTGGTGCAGCCATAACCGTGGGTGCCACGGGGAAGGTCCTGGGTTTGCATCTGGGGACCTCCCTGGATGTGCAGGGAATGTTTGTGCCCGTAACCGGGACAACTGAGACAGGCGGGCAGCAGCAAGGACTCGGGTGGCTGTCTCGCATTCTCTCCCTTTCTCTGTCTCTCACTTTCACAGAGAAAATAAAGTAAAACAGGGTTGCTCTCTCTACATCTATGCTAGAAAGCGAAGCTCATGCTCATTCATTCATTCATTCACTTACTCAGCATTTGCCCGGTCCCTGTATGTGCCTATCCTGAGCTCAGTGATGGCAAGGCGGGGTGAAAGATGCTTAGCTCCTGCCTGGAAGGCTCTGCTGCCTTCTGATGCCCAGACAGAGACACAGACCTCTGTGTGAGGGGGAGACCAAAGGGGCAGGCCCTGCTCGGGACAGCTCCTGGGGCCCGTGATTGCTTAAGCCCTGAGGGTGGCTCCGGGACGGGCCAGGGTCAGATCCCGCCTTTGCTCCGTACTGCCTGTGAGACCCTGGTTCAAGTTCTTCCTGTTCATGAATTTCAGTTTCTGCACTTGTGCTCTGCCTTTAAAGCTGTCTCACAGCCCAGTGATCACGTGTACCCAGTGCTGGACACATAGCCGGTCCTCGGAAGCCATCCCGGCTCTGAGGTCTCCCCTGCCCCAGGGTGGCCGGTTTCTGACAGTGACCTTGACACCCCGATAGTTAAAAGTCACAGGAGGACTCGGCTGTGTCAGGTTAGGCTGAAATATGCGTCAGCACAGTCCAGTTCTTTGCAAAGGGGCCATGTACCCGTGATGGCGTGGGATGTGCATACAACACCCAGCTCCGGTCAGCCGCACGCCGTGGCCATCATGTAGAAACCGGAGAAGTGACTTCTGAAGACGTCGATCATGGCTTACCTGTGAAGGGCCCCTGTGGAGTGCAGAAGGCTGATGAGCCTCAGGGAGTGTGGTTTACAGCACAGCTCTGTCATCCCACAGGATGGGCAAGGCGGTTGGAGCCGAATGTATTTAGCAGGATGTCTTACGTGTGAAGGTTCCTTGCTGCTCTGTAAATGCCTATTTGCTTATTTATTCATAGATGCAGAAAGTACTTATTTTCCATTCTGCTGCTTTTTTTTTTCTTTAATGCTTTTGCCATAGGGCACACGCACTTGCTGGAGAGAGATAGAGAGAAACGGAGAAAGTGAGAAATCTCTCCCCTCCCAGCAATGGCCACACCGCAGTCCCTTCTCCTTCAGTCTCCTCTCGGGATTTGGGCACGAGTGCACGTATGTCCGGCATGGTTTTCAAGTCCCGAACTCGGCCTGTGGTCGGCCATGTGGGAGTCCAGTACCCGACCTCCTTCTGTCTGGAAGCCCCAGGGACAGGCGTGTGTTACTGACGAACTGAGTAACGGGTGAGCGCTGACCCTCAGCTGAGCGTTAATAAATAAATGCAGGCGCACAGAAAAGAATCCATTCTCTTGCTCCAAAACAGAACGAGCTGATGAGCAGCATTTCTGTTCCCGAGGCCCTGCAAGCCAGGGTGGTGCACAACTGAGTCATCAGTGATGACGTGCTCTTACCTTTTATCCATCAATTACACATTAGCAATTACAGCTTGTTCTTCGATAAATCATGTTGCTTACTGCTTGGCGATATTTTCCTTGGTAAATTTCAGCTATGCTTACCAAATGGACCACTATTTATAATATTATTGCTGATGGACAAGTCGGGACACGGTGACGCCCTCTGGCGGCACCTGCTGTGCACGCATCCTCTCAAGGCTGGCCTCGAACCCTGAGCTCTGATCCGAAACCATAGCAACTGTGTGTGCAGCGGGCAGAAGGAAGACCCAGAGAGAAGCGAGTGACATTTCCTGACCCCTGGAGCAGATAGAGAGAAGGGTTGGAGATGAGGTTTTCTTAAAAGCACAACAGAACACACGAATAAGGAGACTTCACATATGGAAATCACATAGCATGGGCAGTGCTGGAGTTCGCTTCCAAACGTTTGAAAAGACGATTACTTTTGAAATAACTTTGCTACACAGAGAAGTCAGGAGCATAGTGCAGGGAACCAGCAGTTAGCGTAATGGCTATGTCGCTGGACTCCCACGTAGTCGACCGTGGTTCGTGTCCCAGACCCGGTGGCTTGAAACTCACGCTGGGCGCATGTGCGTGCGTGCCCAAGATCCCAAGAGGAGAACGGAGGAGAAGGGATTGTGGCGTGACCATCCCCCCTGGGGGGGTGATTTCTCGCTTTCTGTCTCTCTGTTTGTCTGTCTGGCGAGCGCACGCGCCCTATAGCGAAAAACCTCTCCAAAAAAAAAAAGGAGCACAGTGCAAGTGCAAAGAACTTCTGCCTCCCTCAGTCCAGGGACCGACTGGACATGCGTGTCTGTGACCACGGCCTTTTCCTGACCACTTGTGAGTGAACTGTGGTCACGAGGCCCTGCTGACCCTAAGTACCTCACGGCGTATGTCACCAAAGCAGGACATGGTCCCGTGCACCAGCTGCAGCTCTCCTTGTCACGAAGCCCACATGGATCCGACACCCCTCTTGGAAGGTGGACTGTGTCGGCCAGGCCTGTAGTGGGCCCGACTGTGCTCCTCCTCCCTGGCGTGGTGACGCGTGGCCTCCCATCACCTCTTCCTTGGAGCCATCCTTCAGTGCTCCGTCCATTCCCCATCGTCCCTGTCCTTAAAGTGTCATCAGATGACCTTTGACCAGGTACAGGTCGCGTGATCCCCACAGAAACCTGGAAGTGACACTCCCAGCAGGCATCACCGGCGTGAACCCGCCACGCTACGGTCTGACTGTCCACCGGTCTTCCAGCCTCGGTTTCCGCCGTTCCTCTGGTGACTGACTAGGAGGTGTGGGGAGGCCTGCACCGCCTGCGTCGGCCTCCTTCCGCCCTCCTCCTCTGGGTCGTGCTTCACCACCGGGGTTTACTTGCAGACCGTCCCACATCTGGCCCGTGGGAGGGGAGCACCTCCAGGGAGGCTCCTGTGCCCAGTTAGTCATCAGGAAAGTCATGATGCGTTTTTCTCTGTTTTTCTATGCAGAACTGCACCATGGCTTTTGCGACGGCCCGATAACAGTTCCATCAGTTTCGGGCACTTCTAATTTTCTGGCATAAGTGTTCTGGACTCATGCCACCTTTATTTCAGCTGGAGCACCAGTCATTTCTCCAAGGAGCTCTGAGTCCTCTCGTGGGAGCTCGGCACCTGGCAGCTCATTCTGTTGTGGTGTGGCTTCCAGGACGTTGAGTAGATAAAGAGAAAATAGAGGTTTTTACACCACGCGTACACCCGCGGTTATTTCCATATCTTCCTGGGTTTGTATATTAAAAACTACAAGGCCCAGCTGTTGTGGCACACAGAGCACCACTGCCAGGGAGGCTGGAAGCCACACGGAGGCCAGAGTGCGCTCCTGAGCCAAGCCAGCGTGCCGAGAGCAGAGCACCTCCCATGTTCCTCACTGTTTGGAGCCTGGGCTGGAGGGTCACGACATGGCAGGATTGCCAGAATCTCCCCTCTCTGTCTCTTGTACCTTTCCTCTCTTTCCTCTCTCTCTCGCGAAAAGGAAACAAAACAGGGCCAGCCAGTGGTGTGGGGGTTACGGCGGCTAGATCCCACATGGCTGATGGCGTGGTTTGAATCCTGGACCCAGCGGCTTGAGAAGTGTGCTGGTACGTGTGCGTGCACGCTCACAACCCTGGGAAGAGAGCGGAGGGGAAGGGATGCGGCATCACAGTCTATTACTGTCTTTCTTCGAAGGAAAGTTGTTTTTCAGCAATTTGGTATTTTAGGTCCCAGGAGACCTACGGTCATAACAGGCCACCTGGTTTATGACGGAAGTGCACACGTGGTCAGCCGTAGCCTGGTAGCATTGGGCCCTCACTTCTGGTGCGTTAGTGACTGACAGGCTCTCTCCTGATGTGCATTTTCTAAGGAAACGTTCTTAACACCAATACTTGGGCACTGATGCTTTCTAACTGATTATATAGAACCATCGAAATGAGCAGATCTGTCCTCCAAATGGTCACGAGGGTTTTAAAAATAATAATAAAGCATTCCTCTTTGTGAGAGCCACAGTTACAACCATGGCATAAATACGTGAACTGTAACCTCTGAGAGTTGGAAGAGTGAAAGGTGGGGGGGGAGGGGGGTAAAAGCACAGAAGATTCTGGAAGCTCCGATGACGTCATGAACAGAGGGCAAGGCGGCAGCCAGGAGAGCGGGCCGGGCCGTCTATTTCGAGTTTCACGGTTCTGTTTTCCTCTTTCTAATCTCTTTGGGTGTCCAGCTGAGATCTTCAAGCAGAGATTGGAAGACCTGGAACAGGAGCGGAGCGGCCTGCACTTCCAGCTTCCGTCCAGGTGGCCAGGGCTCAGCAGCTTCCTGGACTACCTGGCTGCACAGGCCCAGGCCGCCTTGAGCCAGCGAGCTGCCCGGCAGTGAGTACCTGATCGCCGCCTCTTCCTCTGCCTCGCGAGGAGCTGTGGGGCGGGGCGTCCCTGCAGAGACCGTCCACTGCCTTCCCTGGGAGGGCCCCTCTGTCGGTTGGGCAGGTGGGGTGGGGCCTTTCAGAATGAGGACTCCTGTGGCTCAAGCATCCCTAGAAAGAAACCCTGTCAGCCAATTCCGGGTAGAGGCCCTCTGCAGTGTAGCTCCAGCCTGGGTGTTCAGCTCAAATGACACGGCAGCCACCTCTGTCCAGGGGTGTGACTGTCTCGTGCGAGCTGGGACACCCACAGGTAACGTTTCTCACTCCCGTTTCTCACTCCCGCCTCGGTTGTGCTCTGCCTGGTCCTCTCTTTTCACTCCTTTGTGACGTCTTGG